ACGACGAGTTTTTCGTTGAGTTAATTTTCATATCAAGCTATTTAATTAAATATAATGCTATCAAGCCAACTCACCTTAATACGCGCTTCTTATCAATGACGTACGTAAATTAGATTTAAATCTTCAACGCTTCATTTGATTCGCTAATTAAACTTAATATGTTTGCTACTATCTACTACTACTACTACTACGGCTTAGAGGTACTCTTCTAGCACGAACACATGTATACATGTTTTGCTTTTCCTTCTCTTTCTTACTTATTCATGATAGATGGGAATATACTCATTTTGTCATCATGTTTGCAATACCCAAAAAAAACAAAACATATATTCTTGATCAGTGTCAAATTCTTAATCGATCTAACGATGTCCGTTGGTTTTTGTGTCCATATGGATGTATATTATCGACACTTTATCTGATTGGAAAAAAAAAAAAAAATTGAGATATTGATCAAAATATTCGAAGTTCTCGTAGGCAGATTGATATTGAAAATAGTCGAATATCGACGTAAACTGCAAACTGAAGGCAAAAAAAATTTGCGGATTTTTTTGCTTACTAGTCGTACATTAGGGAAGATACAGCGCTGATATCATCTAAATTTGTGTAATGGGGGCCCTTACCATTCTTGTGCAAGTTATGTCATATTTCAATGCTTTTCACTTTTTTCAAGTTTTCCACCCATTATTTATAACATAAAACATACAAACAAAGAAATATTGTTTATCTAAGCATCAAACAAATCAAGCACGGCTGTCAGCTCACTTAAAACTTCTAGATATTGGAACGGTTAAATAAATGGCAGGGCGTAGACAGGATTCGACCCCAACCCGTATATAACTTTCTTAGTTGTTTTTCTTTATGTTTACATTTCATGATATTGAATTTCTAATTTTTAGACAAAGATTTATTTTTAAGGGTCTGATTAAATAAAATATCGGTTTTATATCTTATAGCATAGGTAAGATGTAAATTTTCCAAACACTTGATGCCTTTTAATGTCTTTAGGAGGATTTGATTGACAATCCTTTTATCGAGTAGGTCTGGCTATTTAAAGCCACTTATCCATCGTGTGATTTGACTTGGATGATTGGATTTCAAGACGAACCTGCTTGCAAGAGTTACCAATTTTTCAGCTAAATTTGCAGCCGATGGCTACTATCAGCAGAATGTCGACCAAATATAGTTAGAACGGCATACAGGCGGACGGACGGAGGGAAATGCTTAGATTGATTTACAATTTAATGCCTATCAAGACTATGTGTCATGTATACATTTCTGAAGCTTCTTTTTGGGGGTGGCAACTGCTTTAACAAAATGTATATATCCCCCTCATCCTATAGTAATGTGTATAAAAATGACGAAATTGTTCCAACGAGTAATTCAAGTTAGGCGCATGTTTTTCTTATTCGATCCCCCGTCCTCTATTTCCTGATATAACAAATGTCATAAGAACACACGAGCTCACTTATCCTTCCGATAAAGTGAAAATCAAAGAAAAACAACACAAAAATAAAACAAAATATTCAATCAATTTAATTATTTTTCCAGTTACTGTGGGCTTTAGATGAGTTTTTTTTTCCATTTTCACACACAAAAATTAAAATAGAGAGCTACTACGGTAGAGTGAGTGAGACACATAAAAAAGAGATAATTAGTTGATATACACACGAGTTCGAGTGATTTTGCTAGATTTTACAAGAACAATAACAAAAATTATCCCTGCAGTACAAATGAACAAAGTTATTATAATAATAATTATAATGCGAGTTGAGATAAATTAAAAACTCAGCGGAAATGAACGTTTGTGGTTTGATTTCCGCAAAATAGTTTATAATAAATGAAAATAGCGCCTATGGAAGAAAATTATAGAAAGCCTTAAGCATATCAAAGAGACAACAAGACACAACACAACGCGAATAATAGAAAACAAGCAAAAACACTACATTGGCTCCCGGCCCATCAACAAATACCCTACACCACACTACATTTATTCATTTAACGACGTTTTACAATAGGACTTTACATGGGAAGTCGTCAAAAAAGTGATCGGAAGCGAACCATTTTCAATAGCGTTGGTCCTTGAGGCAAAACATGACGGTGTGCCAAATTTCATCAAATTATCTCAAAAATTGCGGTCTGCAGTTTGGACAGAAAAAAAAAGACGGACGGACGGAAGCTTAAAATCGTTTCCGAATTGATCGGCATAATAAAAGTGACATCTATTGCACATCTTTCTGCGTGTTGGAAGACATCTTCACAAACGTAATTATCTCCTCGTACCGCAAGTGGGATGGGATAGAAAGTTTAGAAGAAGTGTAGCATAATTCATTTAGAAAATTGAGATTTTCATTAGTTTTTCGCATACAGAACTTCTGATGTTGCTGAGAAAGAACAAAGCTGCGGTATGCAATTTTCATAGGACGAGTCATGGCAGCAACCTGATCCATAGACTTTCGCGTATTTTGAAGCCTTAGTACATAAGGAATTGACACAAACGCCCGAAAAATTATAATAGAAACACAATTCATATTGATTGCTTTTGATGACGTGGCTAAACATGATAAACATGATGAAAACTTGCCATGAACTGTCAAAACATTTACGGCCTTCTTGAAATTGAATTTTAAAGTTTATCATAACTTTCCAAAGATCGTACTTATCCTGATAAAACAATTTCCTACCGACTTTCAGCGTTGTCAATAATCTGAGGTCATGTGACGTTTTCTTTTACGTCACGAATGCGATTCCATGAAAAATGTTAAGACCAAGTATCTAATATGAAATTTCCTTAGTTAGTTACAGAACTTATTTTTCAAAACAGTTTTCGGCGATTTAGTGCCATCTTCTAGGCCAGATAGTCTTTTATTTTGACCGCAAAGCCATTCGGAGGTTACGCTTTAAACTTTTTTACATTTCTTTTGCAATAGAAAAGATCGAAAGTGACAAGCTTTGGTGGATAATATTGTTGCGGGTTATCTCTATCTTTTTCACTCTTCTATCACTTTACACTAAAACTTATTTCAAATCGATTACTGGTTGCCGATGGCAGTTAATTATTTTTTGAAAGCTTCACACTTACTCAAACGGGAAGCTTTCGCAAAATTTCTCTCTTCGACTCATGCACTAATATAGATAAGACCGTGCCCCGCCAATTATACCCTAACCACAATTTTTGTTGCAGAGATTTTTTTTTTTTTTCTTGATATTTTATGAAAGCAAACTAGCATAAGATGGCTTGAAAATAATTGTATGAGTTTAAGGATAACACTGGCAATTTTGTTAGCTTCTTTGCAACAGGAAAACATATATGTATGCAAAGCTTGCTTCGGCTAGTGGTTGATTGGTGTTATCATCAGTTCAATTGCGAAACATTTGACTGATCCGACTCAGGCCAATACACAAGTTCGGCAAACGAAATAAAAAAAAGTTTGACTTGACCGACGAAGGGGGGTAATAGATATTTGAAAAATGCAAACGAATTTTGAAAAGAATTGAAATAACAAAATAAACTACGCTAACTTACTGACATCTAACTATCTGTAAACGCAGACAGAGAAAGGCGATCTTGAAAGTGTTTTTTTGTTTTCTTAACAATGACAAACAGAGCTGGGCAGATCTACATACCCAGAATGGATTCAATTTTGGTATTGATATTTTATTTGAATAAAAAAAATTTGATTTTGAGTTAGTTTTACTTACATGATGGTGAAAGGTGAAAAATATGGGATGTACGCATGAGTATCCAAAATTCGATCCAACTCGAAATAGCATTTTTTCTTGTTCTTGTTAGCTTATAAACAGTTTGGTAAACATGAATGTATACATTGAAAGTGTTTTAATCTGAAATTTATATATAATAACTTGGCTTGTGCATGCATCAAGATTGTTTACAACTGAGATGACAAACTTAATACGTATGTATACGTATAGGCATACACCTAAGGATAAGAAGCTCTCAACAATAACAATTGACTGTAATAAGAGTTTGAAACACTAAGCAAACAATTCATACGACGATCTTAAGGAGAAGAGAGAAAAGTATGCATAAATGATTGACAGGCAGGCGAAACAGGCAGGCAGGCAGGCAGGCAGGCAGGCGGGCAGGCGGGCAGGCTAGCAAACAAGGTGAGAGAGGGACGGTGGCGAAGGCATAAAAGAGTATAAAGAATTTATAGACAGACTGTCAGCGTTGCAAGCGATAAGAATCGAAAAGAACGCATGAACACGTACGTACATCATTATAGTACGACAAATGAACTTGCCCGTATGCATGTAAATTTAAGCTTACGGTTATATGAATTACCATTTGTGTAAGGTAAACATGTATATTTATGTGTATATGTTACTTCAAGCGTGTGCTTAAAATAAACACATAAAGAATGCAGTTGCTGTTGTTTTTTAAGAAATAACACAAAAGCTATTCTTTCTTTTCCATAAATTTTTTTGTTGTTGTTTTTTTATCTTTTCATTTTTCACATGCAACCTGAATGGAATGGAATACAAGGTATATATGTAGACAAGTAGGCATATATAATTTGTTTTTTTATACTTATTGCTTGCACAACGTCTATATAAATAAATAGAAATAACAATAGGAACGAGTGTTAATTTTTCATTTTCCTGGATTTCAATTATGGTTTTGTTAGTTAATAAAAGTTTTGAATTACGTTCAGTAACGGCATTGACTGCAATGCAATAAATAGCAAACTTTTTTTCTTTTTATTTTTTTTGTTTATGCACAGTATAAGCATCTCATTAACAGGCAGGCAGGTGCAGCAATTAGATGTAAATAAGAAAATAAAATAAAAAATTTCCACAAAGCTCGTAAGCCGTTTTCATATTTTCCTGCTAGCAACATGTATTTTTAGCTTAAAGTGATTGACTTATGAACTGATTTCGTTTAAAACTTAAATATATATATATTTTCGTTTCTTTTAATGAATATATATATATATATATATATATATTTTCGTTTCTTTTAATGAATTTTTTCTAAGCACCTTTTTTTTGACGTTGCGTTGCTTTGTAGTTGTTGTTATAGAAATTTGCATTTGCACCCGAAAAACAGCTGATTGAATTTAATTGATTTCTCCTCACTCTCTCTCTCTCTCTTCTCTCACTCTCTCTTTCTCTCTCTGTCGCGCGCGTTCATTCTCTCGCTTAGAACGAAGAAGAGAATACTTGTTTTTGCATTCTTGCAAAGGTTTTCACTAATTCACTGTTACTTCTTTTCTATGTTACAATTTTAGAAGTTCACTTGCTTCTTTTTTTTTTTTTTTGCACATACTCTTGTTTAAAAGAATTTTAAACGCAGAAAGCAAAATGTAAAATTTTTTATCTTTATTTTAAAAGCCGCACAGATTCGCACACGCACGCACGCACGTAAACTTATTACTGGATGGGCGATTAGGTTTATGCATTTAATGCAGATTATATGTATGTGTGCATATGTATGCGCATTGCTAATTTGGATTTTGCATATTTATGTATATATATATTTTACACACTACAAAGCCACGAAAAAATTGGAGAAGAAATAAAAATTCACATATGCACAAAACCTAAACACACCATCTATCCGATCCGAGGAAATGACTGTGAAAATGTGAAAACTGTAAGCTGCTGCTGCTCTCGATTTACAATCATCACAATATACCACTACCGCAAACAAAATAAATTTCTTTGCAGTGTGCAATATATAAAAAAAATTTACGCGCGAATCACTCTCCGAATATAGATTGAGACAAATTTCATTTGATTACTTGGCAGCAGTTGTCACCGTTGTTATTGTAATTTTATTCGCTCTGAGAGAAAATTTTCTTATTATAAAAATTATGTTTTTTACTCGCGCCTAAGAATGAGAGAAAAACAATTGCTTGCATATAAATCTAAACATTTTCTAAAATTTACTCATCTCGCGAGAGCTTGTGCAAACAGTAAATTCGAAAAAGCCACTCGGTGGCCTAGAGAACAAGGAAATTTTATTCTCGCAAATTCAAAAAGCCACTCATGGGTCTAGAGAACGACAACAAAAAAAAAGTTTTATTCTCTGCGCTCAGTATTAAAAACTGGCAAAAATTTGTACAAAAACCGGCTTATGGCGATGTGCACACCTACAGGCGCGGATATATGTATATAAATACAAAGACTTTTTTTTTGTTGGGATTTTTTGATGGCTTGCCTTATTTGCCTTATTTGACGTTCTCACTCAATAGTGAAAAAAAACAGAAAAAAAACATAACACTTTGACTGCCCAACAAACTGACAGTTTTTAGTTGGTCAACCTTTTTGCTAATGCTTTTGAACTCGTGCACAAACATGCTTGCGTTTACATATACACACGTGAGTTCGCTCTATTATTTTTGTCGTAAGCGCTATTATTTTTGTCGTAAGCGCTACTATTTTTGTCGTGAGCTGTTCTGAGTTAACGATAAGGCGAACAAAAAAATGTTCGTTGGAAGTTGCTCGTATGTCGTGCGATGAAAAGGTGCTTCGTCTTATTTTCAGAAAATGCTGCTGTGACTGAACAACTGGACATTTTTCGTCGAATATGCTATTCTTCTTACTTGTTACTTGCTTGTTTGTTGTTTTCTTTATTTATTTATTTATTTATTTTTTCTTCACTATATATATAAAAGTGATCACATATATAAATTTTATATAGTATTGTTCTTAGTTTTTCTTTTGATAAAATTCAACTGAAATACAACCGTTGTATGGCCCTGTTTTATTCTTTCATATTATTGTTTAATGTCATCATACTTGTTTGTTGTTACATGTTGCATGTTGCATGTTTTATTTCTATGGTTATGCTCTGGGTCGATAAAGATTGCACCGTTTCGATCTTAACTGAATGCTTGACTTTTGTTTCAAGATATTATTATTTTTTTTTTTTTGAATCTGTTTTCTCTTACTTCTTAATTTTTTTTTAATAAAAAAACAAAAACAAAAAGCTGTTACACTTCTTTTTTGCTTAAGTTTTGTTTTTAGTATTTTTACACCACTAACCATAAAAAATTAACTAACTTATTTGATAGTTCCATTTGCCTCTCATGTTAAATCGCTTTTTTAACTCTCTTGTACTCTATCTCTATCTCTCACTCGCTGTGTCTATGAATTCATATATGCTGTCTTTCCAATTCTCTCTCAATCTTTCTCTCTCATACAGCAAATAATAAATAAACTTTTCCTATTTTTTATAGATTGCATTGCTAATATTACTTTGTGTTGTTAGTTTGCAGACAAAGGTGTGTTTGATATGTTCGATGTGGTTGCATGCAATCCCAATTGGAATTTTATTCAATTTGCGAATGAATAGCGAAAATGTTACGTACAATGAACGCATGTAATTAAGCTGTTAATGTATTAATTATAGGCACTTCTTTAATGTTACATTCCCTTCTTTGGAGGGCTTTGTACGATTTCTCTGGACTTGCGCTCCTTTTTTGTTCTTTGTGTTCTTTATTCACGCGATTAATGAAGACAGTAGGAGAGGAAAACTTTAGGCGGCTTTTGCCGACAACTTTGCATTTTAACAGATGCCCAGGAAGAGTATCAAAATTATCAAAATTAGATGGACTGGAATCTATTAAATTTTAAATTTATTATTATTATTATTATTATTTTAATTATAGAGTAATGAATTGAATTCTTAGACTAAAAAAAAAAAGACATTGAGCACTAGCAACACAGGCTATCGGCTCTAATTTAAAAAAAAAAGGATATTAGATAATAAGCTTAGTAGTATTAATAAAGTAAAATATTGAATTGATATTCTGTTCTGAAGTTGATTGTAGAATATTCAAAGGGTTAATCGTTCCAAATGCAATACTTCTAGCCAAGGAAAAGTTGGGGCAGTCGCAGAGAATGTGCTTTATAGTAAGAGTTTGTCCACAACAACAAAAAAAATTTTAAATTTGTTTTAACGTAAATATTATGTAGGCTAAGAGCTATAGAAATCTAAATCAAATCCACAATAACCAAAACTTTAACTTCACGTAAATAAAGTATGATAATAATAATCTATGACACGTAAACGATATTTCCTTTTTGGCGATCATCGTTTTGAAAAACTTTTTAAGGCCGCTAGTTGGTAGTAAAAGTTATTTACACATTTTTTGAAAAGCATTTTTCAAATTATCAATCATTGTAGTTTGAATAGTTTGTCTAAACACCGCAAAACGGTGACGTTCTATGGCTATATATTCTTGCGTCTCCTTTGAAAGGACAAGGCTGAATCGATTTATAGGTGGTTTTATGAAATTTTTATGATATTTAGAAATTTTGTCTAATGCTTGAAACCTGCACTGAAAAATATTGGCTCTTTTTTGTAGTAATCATCCAATCCATCACATGAGTCGAATGGGTTTAATAAAAGCGTTAAATAAACGTTATTCATGTTTTCGGGTTATACGTTGTTGCTCCCCGGGTCAATGCGTAAAAATGATAGTAAAAGAAATGGGTATATAATTCGACAAGTACTTCACTTAATTATATAAAAAGCCGCTTCTCAAACTAAGCGCTGAATACAATATTCTTTCTTTGCATCTTTCAAATATTCAAATATGATTTGATTCTACCTGTTTATATGTAGTTAAATATGTAAATCGCATTGCATTGTTGGATTAAAAGTCCTAAAAAACAACTAAAATCACTATAGTGGGCCATGGTCGGCCATTAATTACCCTACAAAACAACGCTTTATAGGGGAAGTGGTTTAAAAGTTGACCCCATTATCATCATATTAGACATATTTTCGTTCTTGGGCCAAGGCACGTCGGTGTATAAAATTTCACGAAAAGATTCCAAAAATAATGGGCTGCGGATTCAGCATGAGAAACTAAAACGGACAGACTGTGCGGTTTACGAATGCATTAATCGTGTTAAGCCCTTTATTCATTTCCCCCAAACTAAAATTTAGAAATATTAAGTTTTATTGCTCGCTCAGAAACCGGAAAATCGAAAGGAAGAAATGACATTTAATTTTGAATCATTTTTTTTGTGCTTAATCTCTACTCGATATTTATCGTGCACACTGCGAAAGAGGAGAGTTTGAAAAGTCAATTAACTTTCCGTGTGGACGCGGGGGAATACTTATTTTTACATTTTATGTTAATTGCGTTAAGCAATAAGAACTTTTGAGATTCTCTTTTTCCCATTCCTTGCGTTATTGATATATTCATCAAATGTGACAGAGAAAGAGAACGTGATGTTTGTTGTCTTTTTTCGTAGCAATCAATTATTTCAATCACATTCTTACTGTTGTTTTATATTCTTGAAAAAAAAAACAAAAACAAGAACAAAAGAGTTTTGCTTTGATGACGTGAAATAAATGTGAGTTAAAAAAATTTATCGATATTTAATATTTTCTCTTGATATTTCTCTTGTTTCTCTTTCTATCTGTTATTTTTACATTTATGCTGCTATCTCCCTCACTCTAGAATGACAATTCTTAGGAAACATTTACGACGACATGGTTATAATATTAAATGCTCTTAAGTCTCTTTACGTAAACATATATATTTATATATATATATATATATATGTAGGTATATACATATATAAATGATATAAAAGCAACAAACAAAAATCCATAAAATTTTTAAATCTCTTTGAATTTATTTTTTTTTCGTTCGGTGTACGAATTTTAGGGAAAAGCGTTTAGAAATTTATACATTTTGGCAACTTTTCATCACACAGTCTCACATCGTACGGTCGGCGATCAAGTTAAGCAGCCACTACTAGCGTGTATATCTATCTCGGGCGAGACATCAGTTTACATGAATTTTTGTATGAAAAATTCAAAAAGAATAAAAATGTGTCCGCGTCTATTTTCGTCTCAGCAAAGGAAGATGTTTTAATATATATTGCGCATAAGAAAATATAAATCTTCATATATATACACAAGTGTATATAAAATTTTTTTTTGTTTTGTAAAATAATAAAATATTACTTAGTTTGACAAAGATGAGTGACATTTGCTAAAGCAAAAAAAAAACTAAAAAAAAAAATATATGTATATATATGTATGTATGTATATATATATATAAGATCGCTAATGTGTTGCTGGAAGTCATCATGTCAAACATAACCTAAAACGATTTAAGTAAGAAAAAAAAAGTTTTATAGCTTGTTACTGCAACTTATTTGTCTGTAAAAACACGTCCAGTGGCCTGAAATTTGTTCAAAACGACGAAAATATAGGCGTGGCAGTAGACAATGAAAGCCATTACAAATTTTCTCAAAGTAGTTATTGTGCTGTCAACAATTGTCGCAGTTACAGGTGAGAATGAATGAATTCAAGTAAATAAATCCAATAAGAATTTTAAAGAGAGCAAAATATTCTTATTGGGTTTAGATGAGAAACCAATCTTTTTGTCTCTTGAAAGACAAAAGCGCGAATAAATTATTATTATTATGTACAATATTCTGAAATCTCCTATGAATATCTTCTTACATATTTTTACATATTGAATGGTTCGACTAAGTACATGGTTTAGCACATGGAAATGTTTTTCGTTTGCACAAAGCACAAAGGAAACGCATTATTGTAAAGCTACGTAGTTTAATCGATTTAGTTTTCACGCCTTAAGTCCTTTCAATGATTTCAGTTTAATTTTCCATAACTTCTTTCCGTGTTACACGAATAGGGGAGTGATTGGTCATTTAAGAAAAAAAAAAAGTAAACGAAGTGAGCCCATATCAAGATGTGGGAGACTTACTTCAAAATAGGCGGAATTGATGTATTTGATCTATGCAAAAAATGCAGGCCTTAAGCAGATGTTTATCTCCGTGGTAGAGATGAAACGTTTCAAAGCATTTCGATCCAATTAAATATGACTTTCCGCTTTTCCTTTTGTTTATTATTAAATGTAATTTTTTTATTGTGTATTGGCTTTTGTCGCATTATCACAAAGCCAAATTAAGAACATGTAAGAAAATGTTTGTCACAATATAACAAATCACGGATACGATTTAATATTGAGCAAATGTTTTGGCTAATGATGAACGTGGCAAGTGCTCCCCATTCTTTTATAATACCCCCCAAGTTTTGTAATACCCATTGAAGCTCATACGCTGTTCACTGCAACTACTACTACGCTCGTCTAAATACTGATGGCGTTCCGTTTTGCTTTAATGTCTTTATATCCAACATGAGTGTATTAGAATTGTTATTCGATTTGTAACATCAGGAAAAAGTATCTCGTCCGAAGGCATATCTTATGTCGATCAGTTTTCAATTTTTCATTTGTATTAACCGTATTATGCGCATCACGCCAAAAAATGCAACACAGAGATAAGCTTTGCGAAAATATTCGTAGGGAGACATATAGACGTCGGTACTATTGGCGCATCCATATCTAGCTATTTTAGTGATGCTACAGAGGAAATTCAAATTTTTCCATTGCGCTTCAACAAGAAAAGTATCGTCACTAAAACGACTTTTACTTTGTAAACTAATGGTTAGAATCTTATGAAAAGTTAACATATTTCGTTTGAAAGTCGGTACTCCCTAGAAATCGTATGCATCTGCATAACATCCTACAATTTTATTAAAAGATATACTACATGTCGGTATAAAATCTTGGTACATTCAGAACAGTTAAAAAGAGTTGGTAAACGTAGGAGCCGACCGACTCACAGATATATAGCGGATATCGCTATATAAAATTTGGTATACTCAAATCTGTCTGAAAGTTTACTAACCATAGGACTTGATTGGCTCACAGATTTGTTCGCTCGTAAGGAAATTTTTATATAACATGGCCCTCAATAAATTCGTAGGATGACATACACATTTGGGATGACTATTAACAAACCTTTATGATTTTTTAAAACTATCAAGATTCAAACGATCCGTGCCTTACCCATTTATATGTCACGCTACGGACTTATTGAGCGAAGGCTTACTTGATGTAGGACAATTTTTCTAAGCCATTACTCAAAGCTCATGTTCTTATAATCTCTGCTCTAATTCGTTCTCATTTTTTTTTCAGATTGTTGTTCTAGCCGTATATTACTTTTAAAGGAACAGACTTTGAAAGCTATAGAACAACAAAAAATCCAGCAACAACAATCATCGCAACAACCTGATGAGAACGATCGAACAGAGGAAGTCTTCGAATTTCAACCGCAAATCGAAAAATACCTACAACATGTTAAAGATTTTATCAATAGTATAGCGATAAACCCAAATAAAACTCATGCCAAAGAAATGACTAATTCCACCGATCGTCAGAGCAATTTAAAGGACAACATGATGTCATCCTCATCTATAGCGTCACTTTCATCAGCATTGCAAGCAAAAGGCTTAACGGCAACAAACGTATTGCAAAATCCTACATCTTCAGACAATCTTAATGATAATCCCAATTATAATTTCCTTCAATTGTACACCTTTATGAGTGATGTACTCTCAGCTCCTTGTACCGGAGAATATTCAACAGATTATTGCTTGAACAAAGGCCATTGCTTCGTGCATCTGGTTGGCCTTTTCTATTGCAAATGTGCTGACGGTTATGTGGGTGAACGTTGCGAATCAAAGTATGTGTATTTAGATGGTGGTGGTGGCGGTAAGATCGGGGAATATGTTGCACCGTCGTCGTTATCTAAGCAAAAACCAAAAATTTTAACCGCTCGCGTAGTATTTTCATTTCCTATGCTGATTATTCTAACAATTATTTATGTGTCGATCGGTATGAGTGTCATATTCAAATGTCAACCGATTTATAAATTTACGCGTCAGTCTTGGCGTTTGCAACAAAAGGCAAATCATCTTCTTTATGAATGACCGTTACGCTAAAATCGCTCTTGTCAGTCCCTCCTTCCCCCAACTATCGAGTACAGTTAAAGCTGCTTCTTTTCCCGTTTATCTTTTTGAAGGAAAAGCTTTTCCTTTTTATATTTGTATATATATATATATATATATATACGCAATGTGCTTTTCCTTAAAATTCAATAACTTATTAATTACTTTAAATTAATTTTATTTTACGCTAAGATATCTTTAGAGATGCTGCGCGCAGTAGGCGGTCTTGCGTTTAAATATTTAGTTATTTCTCTTTCTTATTTCCGTCTATTCGTTACTTAATCAATTTACTTAAATTTATTTCTTTTTATTTTGTTCCACATAAATGGAAAGGCGCGCTATTTCCTTCATATAATAAATAGTTTTCCTAAAGTATTTCATTAAACGTAACATGTGTGTGCACACTAACAACGTTACCTATTCGTACGTGGCTGCGTACGTCTTTCTCATTTTTTTCTTCAAAATATTTCTTTCTCTCTCATATGTTGTTATAATTATCATCATAATTATATATATATATATTTTTTTCTTCGTAATTTTCCAAAAACAGCATTGAGGCGCTTTCAGTTGTTTATAACAACTTTGTTGTAAATTTGCACTTGATACACATTTTGGTGTAGCGTAACTTATTAAGTTACTTTTGCATTCTCTTTGTAATCGTACGTATTTGTTTATATATTTCTTTACTGCTTCGCTTTTGTACTTTATTCTTAATTTTATGATTACAATAAAATGACGTATAATCGAGAAAAAACTTATGTTTAATATATCCACACTTGTGTGTAATAAAGCAGGACTTTCCAAATAATCTTCGGCAATCTTTGAATTGAAAGGCGAAATCGCAACAGCGGGTGAGAAGATCTCGCAGATAACGTTTTCATAAAAATTCTTAGTCAAAGCAGATTCAAAATGCAAAAGTGTTAGTGTCAAAAACCATTAAAAACCGTATAGGGAACGACAAACCATGATTAAATACACTACACCCAGTTCGCTTTCTAGGTATAGGATGTGGTCGAAAAATCGGTCCAGCCCGAACAAATTTCAATGACCTTAGCCTCTGGGCCAAAGAAAACATGTTAGTGTACTGTGGCCGATAAGTCGAATACAACGACACAAAACAGACGGACGGACCGGTGGACGAACGGACAACCGTATAGACAAGGATCGAGGTGATTCTAATCAAGCCAACTACAATGCTGAACTTCCTAACCCGCTAAGAGAACATTTGCTTCTTCTATATTTTAAAAAACATAAGATAAGGCGGCAATCCCCTTCGAGAGTCATCCGCCTGACAAACAGTTCTACGAATTTATTGACATTTTTAGTAGTGGTGCGTATCGTCGTAGTATAAGTTCGATTAACATAAACATTCAACGGACCGAGAAGAGTAGTTTTCCAACTTTAAGCAAAGTAGTCGGCCACGCTTTACGTTTAAAAAGTTGAGAAAAATATTCCGAAGCCTAAATTTAATGATGAACTATAAAATATTTGATTTGACTAATCTGAGCGCCCCTTCGTGACAGCCTAATATTAATAATTTTTTTCGAAATGTATGGAAAAATTACGGTACAAAAGAAAGCCTTTTAACTGATTGTGTCCCAGAATGAAAAATGTCCTTGTATTGTCAGAGCCATTTTTGTTCTTTTACTTGAAATTTATGCCAGTTTATGATAACTTAGACGATTCAAACAATTCTTATTCTTTAACAAGTGCATTGATTATCGCCTATCAACGTCTATCAACGGATTTATAAATTAGCTTTTATTTCCAAAATTATCCAACCCAACGTTTTTCAATCCAACGTTTCAGACCTTTAGACCTTTGAATAAGATACACCTGCAATACGAATTGAAACTTCCCGATCATAGGATAAAGATGATTTGATTTTCTTTGTACTTCATCTCATCAGGATCGGTAATTGTGAGACCAATTTTCCTGTTCACAGACAGCATAAAATATACACATACTCGGTCAACATCCAATTCGGTTTAGGCATGTCTGTCTGGACGTCTGTCTATTTTTCAGTCTATTGAAACTTGGCATCAACATTGAAAGTTCTTGCGCTTGGATTGATATAGAAAATGGACCGAAAGTGGGAGCACGTACTATTTCAAAGATAAGAAAGACTGTATAACAATAATTCGGTATGGGACGTTTTTTCGGTAATCTAAATCTAAGAGCACATCGTCCCCCCCTATGACGGCAAGTTGCTTTCTTATATTTTTTTGTAAGACGTAACATTTAAAGCCAAGGCATTGTTGAATGTCTTTGCTTGACCAGTTTGGCTTTCCTTCCCAACAAATTGTTCATTTGGGGTCAGAAGTGGGAACAAACATTTCCGCGTCATTCTCAAAAGAGGAGATTTCATTTACTTGTTCCGGAAGATGGTACATTAGGGCTGGTGATTGTTGTATGGAATTCCAGAGAATATTGTTTGGTCATAGAATCTCACAACCGGTCACAATCACCGACTAGCAATGCTTTATACTCTGTGTATGTGCATGAGATCTGCATGCGTGTATATCATCATTCCTCAGCTGGATGCCGCACAGCATAGACGCACAGCAATCTGTTATACTGTATTTATACTCAACGAACATTCGCATTTATAATATAGCTGCACAACACTGCATGCTGATGTAAATTCACTAGAAAGGTTAACGAAATTCATTCATATACTACTGGGCCCTATTCTCATTACCGAAGACCACTGTACAATCCAAAGGAAAGTACAGAAAATAGAATGACACTTGTTAACCGTGAAAACTTATTGAAGGCAACCATTCTTCTTGCGAGAAGTGTAGATAAAGGACGGAAGATGGGATAATAGGGGATTTTTCTAAAAAAAAATGTGATGTGAGAAAAATAACAACAAGATGCAAGAGCTTTCTTACCTAAGCTATGTAGAAGGGCAATGGCAAATCGATGCCAATGGACTACTCTCAACCCAACTTCTTTGACTACTTAAAAATACCAAGTTCCTTAAACCGCTGTGACAACTTAGTCTAAAGTTCTCTATAGGTTTGGGTACTGCGGTTGCGTACTTTTAAGCCAATTATGTTGCATTAAGAATTCTTCCACATCAGTTCAAATTTATATAAGAACATCTGCTTACTTCGCACTTGGTATTTATCATCGATATTTTTAGTCGTAGAATTCCTCTCTTTGATCGTAACATATAATAATAATAATAACAATTGTATTCCCATTAGAAAAGTAATTCCTTAGTAAATGCATTACTTCATTATAACTGACATACACAGCCGGTATTTTAATGTAGATGTCGCTGAAGCGTAGCCTCAACCCTCTTATTACTTTTCCCGTTAGTTTAGTGCTAAAGTAACACTTGTGCCGATTCTGTCAGTCAAAGAACAAAAGTGACATTGGATATTCAAACAGTCAGTCATACATATCGACATTATTAAATCAATTCTACTATGGATATTGATTTAAAATTAATGCACTTAATGCGCTTTCCGATAAGCATTTCTAGACGTTCTAGACAAGCATTCGACAAATTTATGACGTGCATAAAAGTGTTTGCATCGCCTGTGTTCTGGATTTGGGAAAATGTTCTTGCAAGCGAAGTCACATACGGTAGTAATCGAAAAAGGCAATTTGTAAATGCGGCTTCCAGTGTCCGATAATTAAGTTGACACTTTTCATTTTTGTTTTTAACATAGCTATCAGCATCAATTGCATTCAACATATGATTTCAAAGAATTCTTTTCTTCCTCCCGACGTCTTTTACTTGCTTGACGATCACTTTGGTATGTAAACGTGGGTATGATTCAATATCTGGATATGATGGACCTGAGAGGCTTTCGTATGTAAAGAACTGAAAATTCATATGGATGAAGGCCCGACATTACCGGAGTAATCGCAAGGGACGATGAAAGAGAGAGAAAGGCTTTGTTGGAAACAAAATATTATCAGATACATAGAGAGGGCCCTTTACGTTACTATTCAACCCTACTTGTGTGCATAGGGTAAAACAGTTTACAAGTGTTCGCTTGCAAGTAAACATATCCATTATTCACGTGGCTCTAGGTAAGCACGTGTACAACAATATAAACAGCTGATAAATCATGTTCAGGGAAATTATTTTAAAATAATAAATAAAGTTTATGCATGCTGGTGGTTGTTGTAAGGGTTTGACGCTTTTCGAAAACACAAGCGCAATCAAATCCAAATTCGGGCACAACTAAAAGAGTAAGCAAACTGTGTTGTTGTTCTTGTTGTTACAGTTTGCTGCCCACATTTTCGTGATGAAATGATGATGAGAATCTCAGAGATTACTAAAAAGATGTTAAATATAGGCAAGTGTTCGTGTGTGTATTAATAACAAGGCAATTATGGCGTTACGAAGGAGAATGGATAGAACTGACATGCATCCTGCTATCAAAAGCTACGAAATTAAAGAGATGCAGGCGTAGAGATAGGAAGAGAGAGAGAGAGTATGTAAAAGAGAAAGCCAAGGAGAACATATGATTTGCTTTATGAAAATAAATTAATTTACAAATAATTTGGAACTAGAGGAAGTGAAAATATATATATAGAGAGCGAGAGAGAGAGAGAGAGAGAGAGAGTTTCACATGAAAATGGTTTGATAAAGCATTCATTTGAGAATTAGTACGTAGCGAAAGCTTCAGCAGCAGCTTCTGTCTGTCCATGGTGGAATGGCAAATTTCTGTAGAAGTTTCGCTTTCGTCTCATTATTACTGGAAGAACAATATATTTGTACTTGAGCTGCTTTGCAGTGCACGCAGTGCACAATGCACATATTTGCCGGTTTAAACGATAATGATGATGATGATGATGATGATGATGATACTGTTGTCAGTTGGAAGTAACGCTATATCCCCGCTGACCTGTAACGGACTTGTTATCTCGAACTGAATACTGAATGGAAAATTGTTACCAAGTGCGAAAACAGCTGTTGTAGTGGTTTATAATGGATTTTACATACGAAGAGAGCGAGTGCTTGTGCATGTGTTCGCATGCAAAATAAGCATTCTAAAGGGGGACCGAAGGAATAGGAAACGAGTCCACGAATTAGGTTTAAATCTTGCATGTGTTTTATATAGAACCCAGAAAAGTGTATATTTATATGCGAGAGTGCTAAAGTACCTTTTAAGATTAAGCACGTGCCGTTTAAAGCTTTTTTTTACTGCTCCAACGTCGGTGTTTATGAAACTTTTTTTTTCTATTGCTCGCCTTCCTTGCGTTTGCGAATTACTTCAGCTTGTGCACCTAGAAATAATGTAAATGCCTTTGCATCAACCATTCAGTCAGTCAGTGAGTCAGTCAGACGAGCTGTAAGGTAAGAGCTTTCAACAAAAAAAGAAAAAACAAAAAACAAAAACCAAAAAAAGTGAAAATGATTTTAGAACGTAGCATACACACACACACATTCACCGCTTTTAACTCCAGGTCGTACTTCTCAGTTCCTTCCACCGAATTGTGCCAAATCTTCTCATTCGCTT